CTTATCAAATAAGTGCAACAATAGGATAAAAAATAAAAGAGCAAATAATCGCCAGCACATGGAGATAGAAATCACTAGGAGTAACTTAGTGGAAAAGAAACTAGTGATTCTGCTCTAATTAAAGGTTAAAACGTTATTATTTTCTTATTTGTGGAAAAACTGTAAACCAGCCCTATGGCTAAGTGGTGGGCTCCAGAGTAAATAAAGTTATCTATTTGTGTGCGTGTGTGTGTGTGTTTGTTTGTGTGTGTGTGTAGGTATGTATGTAGGTGTGTATATACGTACGTACGTACGTATGTATGTATGTATGTATGTGTGTAACGTGTGATAGGCAGAAAGAATCAACTACTTTTCATCCCCTAAATGTAGTCGATTCTTTCCGCCTATCACACGTTATACTCGCTCCACTATATGTATCGAGCACTGTTTTACGGATTTCCAGCTTAACCCTTCTCTGTATGTATGTATGTATGTATGTATATATGTAGGTAGGTACCACAACAATAGAGATTTTAATTTAAAAAAAAAAAAGAGGCCACGAAGGCGTATCTTACTTTACTTGACAGTCTCTCGAAACTCGATCTTCGATTCAAGACTATCCATTCTCGATCCTCGATTCTCAAAGGATCGAGGTTCGAGTCGAGTTTCGAAACATTCATTTCGATTGTCGAGACCCTAGAAACTCGGTTCGACACCCAAAACGGGCCAGGGAAACAAAGGAGTTTTCGTACGATTTGAATTATTTTGCCCTTAGTTTGATCAACGGGTAAAATATCCGCATAGCGTGCATCGTTGCCGATGGGTTGAAACTTCGCTCGAAATACTAAGTATATTTGTACAGATTCAAAAAGATGTATTGAACGACTGAATTTTGCATTTCAAAAAAGATGTAATAAGGTGGTAATTGAACTTTGTGTCGTGCGATTTGTGTAGGTATTTTGCTTGTATATCATTAACTAGTAATCAAATGATTTCGAGGGCAGTTTGGGATAAATTAGGCCTAGCAAAAGTAGTTATAAAATTAACAGAGAGCTTGAAAGTGTGCACTGTTAATGAGATATCTATCATATGCTAGAGTTCATACCGCAACCAGGTTGACAATCAGACGTGGTTTGATGCTACTCTGGTTTCAGGATTTAGTGAATGAAAGCGGGAAAATTACAATTCATCAATTGATCTCATCGCTCATCGCTGTAACAAGATGTTCTTCTTTATGCTCACTAATTGGTGGTGCCGCAGAGGACTGGGGAGGAATTAACGCTTGATGACGAGTGTTCTGAGGCATAAGCAAGACTTAAAAGCTAAAAAAGGAATCACGCGTTAAGCTATAGAGATATAGACGAGACGATTATGAAATCATTATTCCTCCATGTACATTGGGTTCTCTTATTCGAGCAAATTAATGAATTTTAAGTATTCTGTTTTTTCAAATATTTCGTTTTAATTTGCTTCTTTGTTAGACTTTTTTAGAGTGTTTGAAGATTGAATAATAATTATCGTATTTGTTCGATTAAGCGCCCAAGTCGCTTATTTCATATTTGGACTTTCAGGGTGGGTGCTTATTCGAAGCTAGGGGCTTATTATATTTTCACCATTTTAAGGGAGTAAAATGAAACAATGAAACTAGAAATTGTAAGCCATTAAAGAAATACCGTACCGTTATTATACCGTACTTTATTATTATGGTTTTTTTTTGAAGGGGGGGAGTGGCCGCTTATTGGAGGTTGGGTGTTTAAAAAGTACTTTTTGGGGGTGGGGTGTTGGGGTGGGCGTTTATTTGAGGCTGGGTGATTATTAACTTTTTCTACCTTCAGGGTGGGCGCTTATTCGAGACTGAGCACTTAATCGAATAAATACGGTATTTTTACTTGAAACGTAGAATGCTTTATATTTTCAAACAGTTGCCGGTTTTCACTGTCACATCATCATCAAAACCACAAAAAACAATAAAGTCAAGAATGAAAGAGATAAGATAAGATGAATAGTCTATTAGTTTCGCATAGATTTAGGTCTGTGCGATGTTTCATGCGGAAGATATTCGAAGAAATGTTTGACTCAAATTTATGAGGCTTTGTACGCAAACACCACGTCTGTGTCACTCTGAGAGTCACCAATATGGCGGCCGGAAGCTGACAAAAACACGTCATCGAGTTTGCTACAAAAAGGATGTACTCTTCTTCTGAGCACTCATAAACAGGACAGACCGGTTTGACAGCTGCAATCTATATACATCTATATGAGTACAAATTCTTATACAAGGACAATCTCAACAGATAAGTTACTTTTTAAACCTATACTTGACAGCATTTTATATCGTGTCGTGCAAAAAGTTAGAAATTCAGTCTTGCCAAACTCTGAAAATCCGATCACACCGAAAATATGTAAAAAGAAAACTCTCCAACTTTTCTATTAACTTAATGAAATTCAAATATCATAAGAGTTGATAATTCCTTTTTTTTAAATTTTGATGACGTCACGTGAAAACTAAGAATAGACCTTTTTAGCTTCAAACATAGATTGGTCAAGTGGTCTGAAATTGGTGAACAACAGTCGCGGCTATAACAAGGAACTATGCGAAACTTTCATTCTCAGATCAGATCAGAACACTCGTCATCAATGTATAACGCTTAGTTTCTACTGGGCGTAAGTGTCAACATTCATGGTTTCATTCCAACCTCAACTTTCTCCTTCTCCGCTTTCGATCTCCTAATTCGGCTGTCTGCAAACTCTAAATCCTCGTCTTTGCCGGAAATGTTAAGAGCATGCTTTGGTATTAGATGTCACTTTTAATAAAGTCTTTATTTTGATCTTATTTTATTCTTAAGTGCATAACTGAAAACAGCCATGACATTTAGAAATCGAGACAAGACAAAAATTTTTTAGGGTCTCTGACTATTTACTCATGCAGATTAAAACACAAATTCGTAAGACTAGAAGTTGAATTACAGCATGCATACTTAATTTCTAAAGCTTAGAATCGTCAGATAATGAAAAGACAAATCCGAATTTGTGGAAACATTGTGGCGGTTACAATCGCAACGAAAGTGAACGTTTCTCTGCACTTTGCAGTTCATCATTGCAGGAATTGTGTAATTTCAAGCAGATATTGATTTGTTCATCTAGTCATAGTTAATCGAGGGGATTAACTATGATCTTGTCTTGGCCCTCTTCGGGATGAAAGAAGTTGATAATGTACATCGTTCGCAACAGTTGACAGATTCCTGACGAGCATATCCTTCCTCGTGTATTACAAATTGAAGCTAGAATGAAATCATGGCTAATGACACTTACGCTCAGAGCAAACTGAGTGTTATACATGAAAGTTGTAAATCTCCTCGTGATCGCTTAGCAGTTCTTCGTCGACGTATAACAGTTTGGTTTGTATGGATTGTCTCGGTTTCTTATTTGTTGAGAAAAATTTCAGACTGCCGGTCATGTAGTTATTTAAGACCGGCAATCGACCACACGCAATTCTAAGATATGACATTTATAAATCTCCTTGAGATCGCTTGCAGTTGCTCGTCGACATATAACAGTTTGCAGAACAAACATTTCCGACTGCTGATCATTTGGCTATTCGAGAACCATTACTGGGAGTCGACCTCACGCAATTTTAAGTATCAAGATATATGTAACACTCCGCGCCCTACGTGTTAGACATGACCGAGCTTTAGACATGAGATTTATATATCACTACGGGATCGCTTAGCAGTTTCTCATCGACATATTATAGTTTGGGTCTTGTAGGTTCTCTCACTTTGTTAAATTTTCAGAAAAATATCGTTCAGTCGTTTGAGAACTATGACCGGCTGCCGATCCACAGAGCGTATCAATACTATTATCGCCAAACAGAAAAAAATTGCAGTTTTCGAAAAAATATAGCTTCTTTCTAACCTCAAACCACATAATCGCCAGAACGTTCTTCTTGCAAGACATTTGCTTCCTTTTTGTGCCCGTATCATTTATTTTTGTGATCTTGGAAGATCGTTTGGTCACAAGTTTGTTTTTTCAGCTTGAGGTTGTTTATAATCTCAGTTAAAGACTCCATTCCGATTGTCATCGATTTCTTTATTACTTCAGTCATTTCAGAGCTAATTTATCTGTGAATATGAACATTTCGGCGAGAGAAGAAGGAATTTCGTCCATAAGATAACGCTGTAGCACATACTTAACAGCCATTTTGAATTTTGTTTACCCATTTCAAACCACGTGACCACATAGCTTGAAAGGTCCATTCCGTTTCATTATGTCTTACAATTATCTTGTTTTGATATCCAAGGTGGCAGATGCAACATGGCAGATCCAGGATGGCGTATGGACATTGATGAGGATAGATTGTCTTTGTAGCAATGGCGTCTAACTTAACTATTGGCTGCTTCCATTTGGTGAAAATGGAGCGAGATGAGATATTAAACAAAAAGATATCAGAATTTTATGCTTATACCTAAGTATATCTTAGCGCTGCCATGGAAAAGCCGTGGAAAATCAAATGATTTTAAACTCAGTAGCTTAAAACCTCATCTGAAAGGAACCTCCATCATTTTCATACGTTAAGTTCCCTTACAGAACAGTTGTCCCCCTTGCAGAAAATAGTGCACGTGTTAGGCAGTTATTGCATGTTTTCTGTCAATTCTGTAAAAGAAGTGACGTCACTTAATCACGCGATAATACCTGTTCAGCCACTCATTAGGCATTGCTATAAAACATGATATTAAACTGGTATAATTGTAGTTTTAAAAAAATGCACGATAGCATTACTCTCCACGAGTGGTACCGAAAGGTCATTTCTGGGGTCTTTGCTCACGGATTATAGTTTGTCAACGCTGAGTCGCCAACTTGTCTGCGTCGCTCCGTTAAATTTGATGAATTAAGTTAAAGTCGGTTGTTCAATTTCCAATTACTGTTTTCTAAGAAGTTTCCTCATTTCGTCAAAGAATAAGCTTCAAAGGCCTGGTTTTTCGTACTTTGGAGTGCATGCTTGTGTGTTGGTGTCACACCGGTCCAGTTTAATTATAAGAACGTCTACGAACATTGCGTGGTTTCGTGGCATCAATATTCTAATTTCATATTGACGCACTTCTTTCAATCAAATGATTGTAATTTGTCCACACGTTTTCGCTCTTCGCTGGTATATTATCCTCTCTCATTACAAAGCGTCTTCAACATGAGAAAAGAACGAATGCTTTGATGATAGCTTAATTGGAAATATGTTCCACTACATTTTTATCGGTGGATCGATTATTCTGTTTTCGAAAAAAACTGCCGTGCTTGTACGCTCAAAGTTCATGTGTTTTAAATTTAAAGGGAAATTGAAGCTTAAAATCGTCATTTTATTTGCATTTTTTTTCTATCTAGCTTTAGAGGATTAACATTAAGTCTCGGTATTCATTTTCGTTAACTTCCTGTTATTTACGAGAAAATTCAACTTCCCGCTTTAGCGGCCGTAAAACCATCGGCTCAGGTTGAATGTGATGTCAATGATGAGAAAATGAAGCAGTCCTCTCACTAGCAATGGCCGCATATCAATTAATAGTATGTGCAAGGTTTACGCGTAACCCTTCTAGTCTGAGCCAAATTATTCTCCGAGCGAAGAACCGGTCGACCGATAGTAAACGAGGAAACGGAAGTTTCGACGGATTATTCTACGAGAATCGTGAACACTGAATGATCGATGTCTTTGCAGTGGACATTGCGAGACTATGTTAAAGGCTAAAGGCTGAAAGTTTCTAAAGAAGCTGTGGTGCTGCGTCGGTGGCGGTGACAATGTTAATGGCTGAGGACTGCTCTTGTTTTCAGGAATTGAAGGGCATTCACAAGCAAGAAACTGGCAAAAAAGGCAGCTTTTTTCCTTCACACGCAGAGCCGCACTGAAACACAAAATACAGATGTTCCTACAACACAGTGAAAAGCTATGGCGAATTGTGATTTGAGTCTCCTGGCAAATGATAGTGAGGTCAATCCAGTGTTTGCGCATTTTCCTTTGTTAACGGCGACGGTTTTCAGGTAGCTGAGGATTTTAGGGACGGCATCCTCCTTCGGCGTGTACTTCGCAGGTCACGGTGTTCCAGGCAGTTTGGACTGGAGGTCCCTTTCGTAATAATGCGGTTCGATATGTTGAGTAACAAACGCGTAAGTCTTTCGTGACGGTGAAATTTGCTTGAGACAATTTTTTGTCAGCCTGATTGTGTTTTGAAGATTTGGTATTTGCCGGGTTGCTTACTCCGTGTTTCGCGATGACTTTGCTCTATTCATTGGTACACGCATATGCTGTGCAATACACCACAAATAAATAACTGATGGTTAGAAAATAAATTAGACAAGTAGTGATTATCGTTCGACTCCTTTGTGGTATTTCGAGGGAAGGAATGCGAATGCCCACACGAACGATTTTAAAGAAAGCCTAAAAACACCAGCTCTTTCTCAAAATGAAATTGATGATTACTCCGAAGAAGTTCGCAATGTGTTTGCAAAAGAGTATATAAGCATACTATAAGCACAAACACATCTCTTTTAACATAAAGGAACGCTACAACTCATTGAGTGATTTAATGACTCAGACACTTACAAAAAGCCTCGGCATTGCTTACAACCGCATTGAGTTTCGCCATCGATCTCTCGCCCGTAGACTACTGAGCAAAGGTTTGCAAATATCTGCCATATCAGTATGAAAGTGTTCATAGCTTACAATGTTATACCTGGTTATAAGAAGGAGAACGTGGACAACCTTGTAAAACCGTTTAAGCGAAGATTAAAAAAAATTACCGTAAATAAACAGCACAGACATATTCACAATCGATTCGATTTATGACATCGCCAGCCCATCCAAACTTAGCCTGACGCCGTCCTTTTTCTGTGAGAAACATGCTACATTATTCCGTTTTCGAGTTTAATCCCCATAAGAGGCCACACAACTTCGAGAAACCTGCTACATGCAAGTTTTGAAGCAAGAGTGTCTAAGGACCTCTAAGGGTTCTTCTCTTTCCTCCCTATCAGTGACGTTATATTAACTGAGCACCTGATTTTCTGAACCGCGGTGCTACTGGGTCAAAACATGGTTTAAAAACTTTTTCAAGGGGAAGTTGAGCCCAAAGACTGAAAAAACTTTCGAACATTGACATTTAAGGTATAAGCTGCAATTTAAAAATGGTTGAATTTTAGGCTTAAGTTCCCCTGTAAGATTTGAAGATGTAAACATAGATGTAACGCATACTTTATTTAATATACTTTATTCAAGTTCGATTCTTACGCGATATGAAAATATTTTCATGTGTGCGAGTAGTTTGCGTGGTTAAAGAGGAGTGACGTGTCAAGGGCTTGGTCTTTTGCTGTTGTTTTGCGTGCAATAATTAAAACGTTTTCCCGGAAGTGCGGATCGAGATCCCCAAAATTTCTTCGAGCGTCTCGATTCTCGATCTTCGATACTCGAGCTTCGATTCTCGGGCACTGATTCTCGATGGTTTTTAGTGGAGACCATCAAAAATTGACTTTTAAGCGCTACTCTACGAGGTCTACATCGCACATTTTGCATAACTATGAAAGGAAAAAAAAGGCGTAGACGAATACTATAACAGGAATTTTCATCATGTAGGAATCACTTTGTCTATTTACCTTCACACAAGACTGTCCTTTGCTTGCGATTCAGCAAGACAAATAGAGTCAACAGCCACCACGTGTTTTTCATGTCGAAGGCAATCTAAAAATGAATAGTTGACGGCGGTGGAACATTAACAGTAGTGAAAGCGTCCCATCGATTGTTGTAACGGATTGTCTGACGTAGCAGGGTGGCATCACGTTTGCGGATGTTCTATAACTTTGTGTTTGAAGCGAGTAACCGCTGGTATGCGCCTGCGTCGGTTTTAGGCCTAGCCACAAGTTGCCAATGAATCCAAAAAAGTTATAAAAGTGTCTAAAAGTTGCCAAAAAGTTGCTGTTTCTTTTAAAAAAGTTGCCGAAAAGTTGCTGAATTTCCAAAAAGTTGCCGAAAAGTTGTCAAAATTTGTCTGCTTTTCGTACCTTCATTGAGTGTTAAAGATTAAAAATTCGTACTTTTCTTCTTATCAGAACTTTATTTGTCGAAGTCCAAAGATAATATCAGAGGTTCTTTCCATTTCACTTGATCAACAAATAGTCTATCAGAATGACAAGATTCATCTGAATTGGATGAATTGGAATCACCATAATTGTCCGCCATCTTGAAAAATGTGTAACGAGATACCGATGACCTCTTGATAAGGCATCACAAAAATCAACCCATGGGTGGTGGGGGGAGGGCTAATTATTGTATTTTAGAATAAATTTAATATCGAAAACCGACTAATGTGGCTCAAAACGTGAAGGAAGTGGCTTCAAAGAACCTCAAAAAGCCCAAAGTTGCCAAAAATTCTAAAAGTTGCCGAAAGTCTCAGAAGTTGCCGAAAAGTTGCCGAGTAGCTTGTGGCTAAGCCTAGTCAGTTTCCCGCTAAAGAAATGAAGCAGAGATCGGTCTTTAAGTAGGAGCTGAATAGAAAGTCATTCTTGGCTAACACGGAATTTGTTTTTGATTTTTCTTTTGTTTACTAGCATTCGTCATTTATTAATCCGTTTGTTTGTTAATCGGGTTTTTTTCTTTTTTTATAGAAACTGCGTTGTTATATAAGGATTTCTAGCTCTTAGAAAAGCCGTAACAATACGCATGAAAAAATACGATTATATATTTTCCATCAATGTTTGATATCGCCAATCAGCTGCTGATACATCACTCGCCTTTCGTATCACTCTGTCAAGTTGTTTGGTGAATTTGAAAGCCTTCACCATTCTCAATCCATGGTCCTTTGTCGACAATCTCGTTCCCAGGGTCTCTCATCTTTCCGCCCCTGGAGCGAGAGAGGACGCTCCAGGGAACGGGAAGATTAGAGACCTTGGGAATCGGCAAGGTTGGTTTGTCGAAACGCTTGGCGCGCGTAGATCAGAGCAAATGTGTCGGAACCATGAGAAGTATATTATTTTTTCGATTCCGTTGTTTTTTTATTTTTGTTGTTTTTGTTTTTTATTTTGTTTTCCAGGTTTTTTAAGTTAGTGTTGCACCTTGCTATTGATTACGAGTCTTACTCCGGACTCGGACCAATCAATGAGAAAATCCGGTAAGCGGTAAGTTTACCGATCAACTAAAGAAAAAACAATTGGAGGATAAGATTACACGTGAAAAATGTATTTTCTCAAGTGATGTGCAATTAAATTCACTACGAAAGAAGAAGTCCGAAGAAAAAGTCAGCATGAGCAGGCTTCGATGGCAGCATGCTGTAACCGCGAAATATTCTGCAATGTTTGATCCTTTTTTTGTTTCGTTTTTTTCATGTGTATTCTGTAGAATCTCTCTGGAACCTTAACATATCTACCTACAATGAATGTGGAGTTTGAAGTGATTCATCTCTTCAGTTCTAGTGAAAGTGATCAGGGAATGAGTGAATTTCAGACTATTTGCATTGCGTGCAGGTCAAATACCGGTGGTCAAGCAAGTGAGGAAGAGAAAATGGATGTGGGTAGGCCACACGCTGAGAAGACCTTCAAACAGCATTACGAGGCAAGCCCTGCGTTGGAATCCACAGGGAAAACGAAAGAGGGGCCGCCCCAAGAATACCTGGAGGAGGGATACGGAAAAAGAGATGAAGGTCCTCGGGAAGAACTGGAAGGAGCTGCAACAGCTGGCAGAAAAGAGNTGGACCGTGCGACGGAGATTTGCTTGAGGTGAAAAGTTTCAGTCTCAGCACACAATGTAAGAGAAATCGATCAGATTGTCCGCGAAAATCTTACCGGAAATTATACTGAATACTTTCGCAGGTATCACTAGAGAACGTGTTTTAAAGTTTGCGAGGTTTGTATACAACACGATGGTTGCAGTCATTGATATGTCGCTTTAAACGTTAAACGAGATTTAAGCTTAAATCTTTCTAGATTTTTTGCATAATTTGCTGTGACTGAAACTTTGCCAATCCCGTGAAGTTATTTCGTCGCACGGGCCACGCAGGTATGTCGAGCAACTGGTACTTGCGCAACTTTCTGTGCGTGCCAAAATCTAATCTCATCTTCGCTTGAAAAAAAAGAAAAGCTAAGCGTGGAAACTTTTGCTTATTAGATGTGGGTAGATGACCCTGTACTACTAAGCTGACATTTGCAATAAAGCAAACCCGCCCTTTCCATCCAATATTTCTTGGTCTTTGGTTTTGTTTTTCCCATTGAAAGCAGCATCAGATCGATTCCCAATGATCAAAGGTATTTAACTTGGTCTTCAACAATCGACAGAAGAGGTTAAATGACAATGACCAAGGGACTAGAAGAGAATCCGTGGCCTTCCTTGCAGAAGAATTTCAACACTCTAGGCAGCAGTTAAACTCTTTCCAAACCCCTTCGGTAACTGCCCGAGAACATCTCTCCTTCCCACTATGTTCTCGTTAAGAAGTTTTTGTTCAGATTTTAATTAGCTAACCAGAAACACAGCCAAGCTTTCTCTTAGCGCTTGCTGGAGGTCATCCATGAACTTAATGTTCTCTGCAACCCTGGCCATATTGTGAACGAGTTTACTTCAAAGCGAAGATTAGATTTTGGCAAAAAATCATAGGCAAAAGCGCAAGTTGCTCGACATACCTGCATGGCCTGTGCGACGAAATAACTTCACGGCAAAGTTTCAGTCACAGAAAACTATGCAAAAAATCTAGAAAGATTTAAGCTTAAATTTCGTTTAACGTTTAAAGCGACATATCAATGACAGCAACCATCGTCTTGTATGCAAAACTTCGCAAACTTTTAAACACATTCTCTAGTGATACCTGCGAAAGTATTCAGTATAATTCCTGGTAAGATTTTCGCGGACAATCTGATCGATTTCTCCTACATTGTGTGCTGAGACTGAAACTTTTCACCTCAAGCAAATCTCCGTCCCATGATCCAAACAAAAATAGCGAGCAACTTAGTTACTAGTATATGTCCGTGTTAAAACACACGAAAGGACTCTAAAGCACACTTCACTCTGATTGGGCAGAAAAACACAAAGATTTTCTGGTACCAATCAGATGGCAGAATGACTGCAACCATTTGGAACTAGTCTTGTAAGACAATGTCCCCAGGGGCTATTCATGCCGGAACTTGAAATTGACCCACAGCCCCTGGGTCTCCGAGGATGATATGTAGGCTCCTTAAGAAAGAAAAATCAACACATTCCTGTGTCTCCACTGATTGCTTTTGGTTATTTTTTAATTGTATAGTCATATTTGCAAACCATCCCTTAAGGGTATGCCTGTTTTTACAAACCAAAGCAAGAAAATTTTCAGTGACAACTTGATGAGCATCTGTTGCAAGTACTCTGACACAGAATGGTTATTCCTGATTGATAAACTTTTTGAT